CATCTAACCCTATCGAATGATATGACAAACAATAAAATAAAATTAACCAGTTAGTGCATCTACCTCTATTAAAAAAAAGCTCCAGATCACAGTGATTCTGATCGTTTTGTCTTTTGTCAAATTGCTCTTTTGAAAATTTTTTATCTGACTCTGTTTATTTTATCATTTTTACCTGCATATATACAGTACTTGTAAAGAATAGTCACTCCTGTTAAAATGAATGTCCTGATTTAACTCAGAGAAACAGTTATTGAAAAGTACAGGTTAGGATGGATATAAAAGGATTTCTAAAGCTCTAAACATCCCCATGAGTTCTCTTAAATCAGGAAATGCAAGGAACAGAAGCTTCAACAGCTGCGATGGAACAGACTGTACAAACAACAACTGTTGTTCTTCATCAGTCTGAGCTGTAAGACAGAATAAAACTCAGAATAAGTTTTGACCAGAGTTTGGCAAACTCCAGTCAAGATTTCACAAGTTGTATAAGAAAAGAGTTCACTTGGTGTTAAATCATAACTTCATCAAGGTGGACTATTTTTTTATTAGAATCTCCCACAGATGATGAACAAATATGTCATTTACAACATTTAGGACATTTTTGGTTGGGCTCAGTCCTCTGACACAATTACTGTCAGTGAACCCAACTTTGATCATCCAATTGTCTTCATCTTATGTTTAACTGGTGAGGTTTTTGATGATTTTTTAACTGGTTTCTTTTTCAGGCTGTGCTATGGAGAGAATTAAGTCTCACAACTAATAATCTACATTATATTTTTCTGGTAGTTTTCCCATAGGACAATGTTAATGTTGTGAACTGTGCAGCTGAAATAAATATCAAACATGTAGGTTATTCTATTTTATGAGAAACTACAGAGAAAATGTATCTTTCTGATCAATTTTCAACCTACTCATTTTAGCTTATTTCAGCAGCACAGTTCATAAAATGCAACATTTTTAGAACCCAGTAATGTTAATGTGAGTGTGTGTTTTAATATTCTGTAGGGTTTATGAGCTATAAATCAGAAATGTATTTTTCCCAATAACCCAGTAAATGTGGTAAAGTAAAAATTTCCCAGCTTTAACCGGCCTTGAATGCAACATTACATGTGTGAATGTCTCAAAAGTCATATTCACAAGAAAGTGGATCTATTCACTCAAATCTTGTTGTGTACACACACTCTCATTATGAGACTTTTTTCTCTCCATACTGTTCTTTCATCTGGATTGTAAAAGCGTCTTTTGAAAACCTTACCTGTAGCTTTAGAGTATAACTGTGTGTTTGATGCCTTTATTGTTGACTGTCTTGTGACTGTTTATTCTTTACCTATTTAACCTAATTTTCACCTACAGCAGTAAACTTTGAGTCAGTTGTGCTAAAGAGAAGCACAAAATAAAATAATAATAATAATAATAATAATAAACAAAGGGCCCTGCAGTTTGTATTATATTATTCATAATTCTCTATCATTCAAAAAATAAAAATTTAAACATTATTGTCAAAGAAATTGCAAAAATCTAAACTTAGCACAAAAATCAGTAATTTAGTTTTTGGTAGATTGTTTCTTTGTTGTAACAATGCTTCTTTTTAATAAATCTTATACCGTTGGGAAGTTTGTTAACTTCTCTTTTAAATGGTGCCACATTTGTAAGGAACATGCATTTGTGGGATGAGCAGTAGAGCTGAGTATGAGAGTTGTGCACATGCAAAATTTACCAAATCTTCTCTGTCAAAAATTTATTCTTATGTTGCTATTGACTCTTGTTTTGAGCTTCTGGTATGCCCAGGTGCTCACTATAAGATTTATTGTCAAGAAGCATTGTTACAAAAAAGAAATAATTTACCAAACACTAATTTACTGTTTTTTTGTACTAAGTTTATTTGCACTGTCCATCATTTGTACTGCATTTTGCATGAAAAGCTTCAGCAGAAAACTGTACATGGAGTTAGATCAATTAAATATTACTCTAAATACAGCCCTAACAACACTTCCTGTTCAAACATGCTGGTGTAGATTCTCAGTCATAAAGGACATGTCAAATAAAAAAAAAGTGAACGAAACTGAAGTCCAGCTGTTTTGTTTTTTTAATACTCTTTTGGATTTTTCTGTTCAAACATAGACTAAATTTTTGGTGAAACAAAAAGAGATTTTTAAAACACTTGCCTAAATGATGTATGATAAATGACTTCCATGTCCACACTAGAGACAAACTTATTAGGTAAAAATCATTAGTAAAAACACACCTAAATATTATTATTATGTATAGAATACGTTTTGCCTTCATAATTTTGAGGGAAATGTCACCAACATAATCCCAAACATTTATTGCTGAAGTATTTCCCACATTATTATAAATAAAGGACAGTTCATATATATCTTTGCAAGTATTTTCACAATGTTTATGTTTAAAATGGTATTTTCTGAATGATCGATTTTGAATGCTACATTTAGAAAAATACACTTCACCAGTATGTTCATTATTAGTCAGACTTTTAAACTGATGAAGACTGAGTTGTGTTGAAAGATGTATGAATAATCCTTGTGTCATATGGAGATCACATGTATGCAGACCTAGCTGCACTGTCACCACACATTTCATCTGCAGCTTTAGCTGACTAGTAGAAGATCTGAACACCACCAACAACCCATTTATTTGACCTAAATGCCAGTTTTGTGAAATATTATTCCTGTTTTTAACAACAACATGACCTAAGACGTGACTGTAGTCTGTCTCTTGGGCTGCTGAGCCTAAAACCCACTGAGGGGGAGCAGCCTTTTTCTCCAGGACAACATCACTAGGCAGAGTGCCTGCAGATGAACCCTGGTCCCTGTCCTCTCCTTCACCTGGCTTTCTCTTATCATTAACCAGCACATACGCACCAGCTTGGTTTGGCCCGATTATTTTGCAGCCTTCAAAAGAGACTGCGCCATGGGGGGCGGTTGGACTAGACAGCAACATGGTGGTTCTGAGTGGACTTGTAGGGCTACCAGGGCTTTTGGGACTTATAGAGCCCTCAGCACCCTGGATAACTAGCCCCGGAAAGGAGCTTTGAGTTCCACTCATCATGAACCTGGACATACCCTGAGGATCATTCATGACTACCATGGACCCATCCTCAAGCAGGTATGTGTTGGATGGATTTGGTTGGATTACATAGTGCATGGGTTGCATCATAGGGCTGGCCGCATAATAAATTGGCTGCTGCTGTAGGACGACGGTCTGAGTTGGGTAGGGGAGCGTGGAAGCATGATTAAAGCTAGCGGAACGACGGACGTTGCTAACTTTGGAGCGAGGGAGAGTGGTCGATGGTGAGATGGGACCTGCTGAACTGACAGACGATGATTTAACGACACGAGTAGATGATGATGAGGATGATGTCACTTTCTCTGATTTCACGTCAACCTGCTTAGTCTCAACATCTTGCTCAATTTTAGGCTTGAAAACTGGTTTGGGCAGGATGGGTTCAGTCAAAGCTGTTGTTTTGACAACACTGGATGTTTGAAAGGTTAGAGGAAACTGAGGCTTTAATGAAGGAGGGGAACAGATTTCAGCCAGAGTCTTGAACTTTGGTCCGAGGTCGGTCAGGAAGTCCAGGTCAGAATCAGCTTCCAGTAAGCTGCAACAGCCCACTGAGCCGGCTGAGGAAAGGTTGCCTTCGTAATCGAACGCCAGCAAACCTTCTTTCCCTGGCTCGGTACACAGTGCTTTCTGTTTGAGGCAAACAAAAAGAACAAACAATAATTCCCACACATTTTCAGTGCCTTGAAAAAAACCCTTTTAAACTTTTTTCTTACTATGCAGCCACATACTTCAAAGTATTTCACAAGGCTTTTGGTGATAAACCAACACAAAGTAGTGAATGATTGTGAAGTGGAAGGAAAGTGGTACATGGTTTTTAATTTTTATTTGCAAATAAAAGTCTAAAAAGTGTGGTGGGATTTGTATTCATCCCCCTTTACTCTGATCCAGAGCGGGGATGGGCAATCCTGGTACGCGAGGGCCGCTCTCCTGCATGTTTAACTTATTTCTCTGCTCCAAAAAAGACAAAATAAAGATTTGGATGAAAGGATTATTACCAAGCTTCAGCAAAATATGAGAAGAGAGTCCAATCACTGAATCAGGTGTGTTGGAGCAGAGAAACAAGTAAAACATGAAGTACACAACCCTCGAGGACAAAAGCAACCGCTAATGCTGCTAACGCTGCTACAAGACTTCAAACTTGCAGTAGTGGCCGGTGTCTCAGCTGCTCATCAAACTACCGGACCAAAGGTAACATCTATACTGTTTTCAAGAACACATTTTAAATTTAGATTTTAAACTCCATCTTCAGCAGCGTAAGCAGTGTTAGTAGGGTTAGCGTTTTCTTTTGTCGCAGAATGATGATGTCATAAAAAAAGCCAAGCACCAGCAGAAAGGCTGCATTCCATTCTGACATAACAAAATGCAAACTTCAACATTTAGTCACAACATTTAAGATTTAACTTACTGAGCTGTAAATCTCTACAGATCCTTGGGAGTTACCATGGGCTCCCTGGCTACTTTTGTCTGCCTGTCAATCTAGGATGAAGGACTCACCTTGGCATTTTTTTCGTTCTTTTTTTATTCATTACATCTGTTTTTTGGGTGTACTAGAGTACGGTAAATGTCAGATAGACTTTTACTCAGGTAACATTCTTAGAGGAGATTTTAACTTTTACCAAAGTCATTTTATGGTAAGATCAAAAAGAAAAAATAAGTAAGTCTTCTGGACGGGTTCTTCTCTAATGAAACGTTTCGTCTCTCCTCCAAGAGACTTCTTCAGTCTGTGGAGCTTCAGGTGAACTCAGTCTTATAAGCACTGCCTCCACATGGACAAACAGGTTGGTCACATGCAAAAGAGGGCCGTCAGCCAAACAATAGATCATTAGTGCCTTGATTGACTCGAATATTCATAGAGGGCCATGTGCCCCATCACCTGACTATCATTGGGGTCCTGATTCACACCTTTTGTTCACGGGGGCTGAGTCTTGCAATAACAACAATGTAGGAGGGGGACAACTGGACACGAAGGCCTCCACCTCTGTTTAATGGTGGACAGTTTTTCTTCACAAAAATGGCTTCCTTTACTCCTCTCCTCTCTTCTCTCCTGAAGAAGTCTCTTGAAGGAGAGACAAAACATTTCATTAAAGAAGAACCCGTCCAGAAGACTTCAATTACTTTTCCTTTTGATTTTTATACCTGGATTACTGAGATGCATCAGGACACTTTATGGTAAGATATTTTTACTTTTACTGAAGTATTTCTTCGCAATACTTTCTAAGACTGGATGTTTGTGTGACACAATTTAAAATCTGCCAAGGTGTGGCCTTCAACCTAAATTGACAGGCAGATAAAAAGTAGCCGGGAAGCCCGTGGTAACTCCAAAGGAGTTGCAGAGATTTACAGCTCAGAATCTATCTACAGGACAACTATCAGACATACATGAGAGTCACAAGAAGAAAGATCAGATCAAAATTTGAGCTTTTTGGCCTGAATGCAAAACACTACAGTATGTGTGGCAAAAAACTAACACTGCACATCATGAACACACCATCCCCTTGTGAAACACAGTGGTGGCAGCATCGTAATGATGTGTTTCTTCAGCGGGGACAGGGAAGATGGTCAAAGCTGATGAGAAGATGAATGGAGCTAAGTTCAGGACAATCCTGGAAGAAAACCTGTCGGAGGCTGAAAAAAACTTAAGACTGAAAGGAAGCTTCACAAATATAAAGTGCTTTATGTTGGTGTATCACATAAAACCAAATGAAGTTTGTGGTTGTAACATGAAAAAATATAAAACAGTCAAACTGATAAGAAGACATTTTCTCATCACTGTATATGAAGACACTGTAACGCCAACAAAGCAAGCATTACCTGTGAGTAGTAATCATCAAGGAAAGCATCAGGAAGAGCGATGTCCTCTATATAAGCTTCTGATTCTTGCATAAGTGAAGTGTACGTGTTAAATCCTGCCATGTCGCTGCCACGGACATATAAATCCTCAGAGAACTTTGGGTTGTTGTCAGGTTCCATTGGGTTTTGGGAGGTATCCTGAATCAACTGACCAAATTCATTGTAGATTGATGTGTGTCGTGTTTCTGTGGTTCCACAGAACCCGTTGCCGAGTTCCATCATTGGTACTGTCTCAGTGTTCCGCTTACTTCCCAGCTTAATGGGAACAGAACAGAGCGGAACCTCCTAAAAAAAGATACAATAAAATTTTATTAAAATACAATTAGAGCAATCGAAGTTAAACAACTCTCACATTTACCTCAGCACACTTTTCAAAATATTTAATTATAAGATTTGGAAAAATATGTTTGTATAGCACCCTGAGATTATAAATTAAAAGCCTAATATTCCTTATAGGATGGATATTTGCTCGTTAGCTTTTGTATCAGAATTTTAAAGAAAGATTGTGTTATGCTAGAAATGACCAGAATCAGTTTGGTTAAAGCTTGTTGGTGATGTTATGCTTGATACTATGTGATACTACTGTATGTAATGTAATGTGTGATGAGAAAAACTCTCAGCTACTACCAAACGTTTTGTCCATATCTGTAAATTAACTGAGTTATAATCATCTCTGTGTTTGCTGGCTATGGTGTCCATCTGAAATTTGGTTTGTCTCCAAAAGTAAACTTTTCATTCAAATCCATCACACAATTCTTGAGACGTTTTGCTAACAAATTTTGTCTTATAGTTAATGACGTGTCAAACAGGGATCTTTCACTTGTAGTGTACACGCCCATTTCACCTCACCTCATCTCACCACTGGTTGRCCTTTGACCACCTGAGGTCAAAGCTCTCTTCTCTCAGACTGAACTGTTTCAGTCCTCATGGAGGACTATCAAAAAAAATAAGCCTTTTCTCTGTCTCTCCTTTCCCCTGGGAAAGAGATCGTTCTCAAGAAGTTTGTTATTCTGTTGATAAAAACAAGTCAAAAACAAACAATCTGTCTGTTATTGTTGTTCCTTCAACATGTACAGTATAATTCAAATGCTTAAACCCTTTAGAATGTGTTTGACTTTTTGTCTTTACTTTTAAGGGCTTTCTAGTTATTTTTATAGCTATGCATTTGTAGTTATTTGTTGTTTAGGACATGTTTAGAAATTATGATTTAGTATTAAAAGAAAATCTTAATCAATGCTTATATTTTTATCTTTTTACATCTTTGGTTTTTATAAGCATTATTCAGTCATTTTATTAGTTTACTAATAATAGTTCATAATTAATCATTAGATAATTGAAATATTAGTCTAGTGTTCTTTAAGATTTAAGTTAATCTGCTCATACAGGTTCGTGTGTTGTTTTTAATGATTCAGCCTTGGGTATCCACACACACACACAAAGACACTTACACACACACATGGTTCGGTTCTCATGAGAACTCTCCAATACACTCACACCTCCAGATAACACACTACACACGTTCTTCTTCCTGTGTCTTCAAAACCTGCTCGTTACTTCCTGTCCCTCAGTCAGTCTGTTTGCTCATCTGTTCTATCTAACAGGGCGAGAGGCGCAGGCCGCCTCTTCTCTGCCCTGTTCTGATTTTACAACTTCTCCTGCAGCATAATTTTGTCTTGTTCTTACAAGGAAATACGCTTTTTGGTGAAATACCATTTTTGTGTAGGGCTGTTCCACCTGAAACCCGAAGCTATCATCCATTGCTGTGAGTTTTTCAAAGTTCCTGGTCGACCTGTCGGTGCCACGCTGCTGCTAACTCCGAGCCCATGAAAAGGGATCTGTTCTACCCATTCGTCTGACCCAGAGAGGCCTCGGTCTGTGCTGAGCAACAAGCATTTGCCCAGAGCTGCGTCTGGTCTCGTTTGGAAAGATCCCCTGGCTACGGTAACCGACGCTCACCTCGGTCCCAGGCTCACTCATAGGCTCACAGCTGAAACATAAATTAACCTTAAAAAGCCTTTAGAACCTTAAAAGATAAATTTGTGTTTGTTTGTTTGTCTTCTGTCTCTGTCTCTCCCACCTTTCCCTCACATATACACACACATTGGGCCTCATGCAAAAACATGTTCGTATTTTTATCCTAAATTTCTCTTACTTTTGTTCGTACAAAGGGTTCGTACGAACATGTCACGTCAGATTCAACAAACTCTTCTATCTTCAGGAAACGTGCGTAAATGAGCTGCGTAATTTTCCACCTGTTCTATCCAGCTGCTCGTGCACGCGAGAGGAGATTGCATAATTACCACCCCAAATACACCATATAAGGCTATGATTTCTGCCTCAGATACCAGGAAGTGTCCATTCATGAAAATGGCAGCGAAAACTTAAAAGAAAAACTTTACGAGTTCAGAGATTGAAGTCCGTCTGTCAGAGATCCAGAAAAGAAAATCTGTCATTTTTAGCAGCTCAGCTGTGGGATAAAAAGAGCTGCTAAAAGTATAAACAACTGTGTTAAATCATTTTCATTTATTCAGAAGATACAGCGCAGCGCTGCGCACCGTAACCCCCCACCAGCGCGCTGCGCGGCGCAGGTGGTCTCAGATGCGGGTCTGAAATAAGCATTTTAAAATGTTTTTAAAATAAGTCTGGCACTTTGGAGAAAATCCTGGACTTGATCATGTATCCCCTCTGGTCTGGGAACGTCTTGAGTCCCCCAGGACGAGCTGGAAGGTGTAGCAGGGGAGAGGGGGGTCTCTCTGCTGCTGCCCCCGCACCCGATCCCGGATAGGCGGCGGAAAACGGACGAACGGACAATTTATATTGTTAGTCTAAATTATTACATTTAAAATTATAACTCTAATTCAAGCAGAATAGCCTATTGTCCACATAATTATGGAGTGTAATTTATTTTCAACTCAAAATATCTTCAAACTAACGAAATATAAAGTTATTAATGAAGAAAACCCGTCTGGATAACAGCAGACTGACTGCTCGTAAAATATACGACAGGTCTGGACCACTCGTAAATTTTGTTCGTATCTGAAAAAAATCGTAGAATACGAAAACATTGGTGAATGCCACAAATTCTCCTAAATCACTCGTACGCACAACTTAAGAACAAATCTGTGCGTACGAACGGTTCTTGTATGAGGCCCACTGACCCTAAATGTACATAAGTTAATCTGTTTTTTCCTAGTTAATACTATTAGATAAATTGCTTGAAAGTAGAAGCCAATAGCCTTGTAGTGAGAGCCCATTTATTGTTGATTGTTGTAACCACATGTTAATCACTCAGTATTACTCTCTTTAATAAAAGTCAGTTAATTTTAACTGGCCAAAATAAACCGGAACGACTTTGTGTGTTTTCTGTGTGAATTGTGGTGATTGATTGTCTTGTTCAACAGATACCATCTTGAACCGGGGAGGGATACTCTCAGTTAGAATCATATTCATGATTTTGACAGGGGGTTATCTCGACACACTGCAGTTGGTGCTCTCTCTTCACTCCATAACCCACACAGCACACACCTCTCTCAGAAAGCCCTCTGTGAGGCGGGTGACCCCTACACACCAAGTACACTGCTTCTTCAATGATACCATCATACACCTTGACCATCAGGCAGCAACAAAGTTAAAGACAGTTTTAATTTTGCTCAAGTTAATGAACAGTGGCAGCCATTTTGGATTTTACTAAAAGACAAACAAATTATTATTAATACATTGTATTGACTTCTATTCTTTTCTATAGCCTAACACCTGACCCTTACCCAAAAATGACATTTGATCATATTTAGACCAGACTTTTGTCCCCAAAAGGACAACTGGTCCTGACAAAGCAGGTGAAAACCAGATTTACACTGCATGTGACTCCGATCCGCTAGTTTGCCGTCATTCATTTCCACCCCAGCCCCACCTCTTTGGTGGGAAGCACAGAGGTACTCTGAGAATCATGTACAAGAAATGCAAGATCTTGTAATAAATCCAGAGATAAATGTGAAAGTGAGACCAAATTTATTCTTTCTGTGGAATACGAACTGGAAACAACCGATGAAACTGCCTCACCGTTGTCTTTTTTTGAATCCATATTTCAAAAATAAATCCACACATCTTGTGTAAGCATATGCTGCATGTTACCATCTGCTTCCCAAACAGGATGATACACTTTGACAGCATGTATACACCCATATACTGTATTTATTAATATAGCAAGGATTTTGGCAAAATGTAAGTAAAGTTTATATGTAAAGCACCTCTCACAGCCATAAAATCACAAAGCACTGTGCAGTCAGAAACAACGCTAAATTAAACTGAATAAAACAAGCATAAAAGCACAATAAAACCATAACATAAAAGTCTGGGAAAATTAAAGCGTTTTCATTTGCTTTATGAAAACCTCCACAGTGTCTGTCTTTGAATTATTTTGAAAATACGGATGTCGTGCTCATTCCAGCAGAGCAAGTGTGATTTTTGTTGATTGACTTCACACTTGTTCTGCCGTCCGGCAAAAACAGGATCGAATCCAATTTTGGCAGATCGATGTGCACACATCACTGCCCTGTGGATGCAGTGTTAATGCTCCCATTGATTATAATGTGTATGATTTTATTGCAGAGGTTGGAGCAGGCCAAAATAAACCGGAACGACTTTGTGTGTTTTCTGTGTGAATTGTGGTGATTGGTTGTCTTGTTCAACAGATACCATCTTGAACCGGGGAGGGATACTCTCAGTTAGAATCATTTTCATGATTTTGACAGGGGGTTATCTCTACACACTGCAGTTGGTGCTCTCTCTTCACTTCATAACCCACACAGCACACACCTCTCTCAGAAAGCAGAATCTAACAGAATCTAGCAGATTCAATGTAAACTGGTATACAGTACACACATGCAGACAGTTGCATAATGAACCACTTTTCCATAGAGGGCAATAAAACTTACCTTATCTTCACCTAAACCTTCAGTGTGGTAGTTTATCAGATGTTCTTTTGTGTCAAACGGTATGTCTTTAAACAGGTCAGGGAAAACATTATTCTTTGCTTGGCACTGGCAGAACACCAAGAGGAAGGGGATTACTGCAAAGAAAAGACACTTTGTGTTGATTTAAGACCTTTCATTGGAACACAAATGGGAGAGTAGATATGAAGGTAGATATGTTGCCTTCATAGATACTGCATGTAGTACTGTGCAAAAGTCTTGTGCAGCACCTGTTTTCTATAGATTCACCTTCAAAAGAGTCAAATAACTTCTCAGAGAAGGTGAGTAATAGTTTTATTTCCAAATGTCTTCCAGAGTGTTTCTATACACTTTGAGACCCCAACTTTAGAAATTTGGGGTTTTAAAAGTTGTAATATCTGAAAGTAGCTGCTGCTTTTTTATTCTCATGTTCATTCTTGATCGTCTTAAACAAAATGGATGACACCAGGCTCAGATGTTTTGTATATTTGTCGGAAGTGAACTCACGCATCAGTAAGCAAACAGCCCCAATGAGTGGGCCAATCGCATGTGAAGTGAAGCCAGATGAGGTCTGTTCACTTCTGGATTTCAGCACCTTGCTGCAGTCTTCCTTCGCAACACAAGTACACACATCCAGAGTGAAAACCTCATGGTTCGGGCAGCTCAAACCCTGAGCATCCTTCACTTCTAGTACCAGCTCATATGTTCCAGGCCACAGGGGATCACTAGAATGAAGTGCAACAGTTGTCTCTGCAACAAAGTGTGGAGAAGTCAAACATACATTTAACTACTACTTTTAGTATATGTGTTACTGTATATGCATTAGTTCAGCTGAGCTGTCCAACACACTGTAATGTGCCTCATAGATTGTCAAATAAAATCCTACCATAAATACAGCTTAAGCAGTATGATTAACCTTGATCTTTATACAAGAAACTTTAAAATGTTATATGTGAATAGTTTCATAGAAAATATCAGCCACAGCTAAGATTTGACATCCTATGCATTGATGTATCACATAAACTCTCAGTGAAAGACATTGAAGTTGGTTACCTATAGGGTATGGAGACACTAATGACAAAATAATTAATCAACAAACTTGATTAAATTAATTCAGTAATGCAGTTTTAAAAAGGAACAAATTATCTTACCATTGATGGTTTCAACATCCCAGTTTCCTTTTGTACCTTCGGGTATGATTAGGAAGGTGAATGGCGCTGCATTGGGACTGACGTCTTCATCAAAGGCAGTGGCGTACACAGTTTTTTTATCAGAGCACAGACTGGTGCGTGCAGTGGTCAGAGAAGGACAGTGGTCATTGGAGTCAGCAACCTGTATGGCTATTGTCCCTGTGGCTGTCTTCGCTGGCATATCTGCAGGTGACATCAGTACAGTCAAATGTTACACAAAAATACAACAAACAAAGAGTAGGACAGCACTATCTGTGGTTAGCCTCTGTTGAACTCCAGGGGCCTCATGCAGGGTCGGCCTGTAGCATAGGCAGTGTAGGCACATGCTAAGGATGCTGTCCATCTAGGGCAGGGGTGTCAAACTCCAGTCCTCGAGGGCCGCTATCCTGCATGTTTTAGAGCAGGGGTGTCAAACTCCAGTCCTCGAGGGCCGCTATCCTGCATGTTTTAGAGGTTTTCCAGCTCCAACACACCTGATTCAGTGATTGAATTAACTCTTCAAATTGGGCAGAAGCCTGTTAATCACCCAGCGATCAAAATCAGGTGTGTTGGAGCAAGAAAACCTCTAAAACATGCAGGATAGCGGCCCTCGAGGACTGGAGTTTGACACCCCTGATCTAGGGGGTGCCACCAATGGGGGATTAAAAATACATTAGAAATTTTTATCAGAGTATAGTTGATTGCTATGTTACTACATGAGGTTATATGGTGCAGAGGATGTTTCATGATAAACATATAATATGATGCAGTTGACTAACTACTGGTACTCAACGTGTTAACAAAAAACAAAATGAGGATAATGGAAGTTTCAGTTCTGACCTAAGATAAAGTTCAGGTTAAAGTCTGGTTTTCAGTGTTTCAACCTTCATAAAATAATTATAATTTCTGAGTACAAATACTCAGTGTAATGAATGTCTTCACAATAAGCTGCAGCTAGGTTCTAAGAGGTTCAAAAGGGCTCGACACACGGGGAGTGACAAAAGACAATGATTAACGGCTGTCACCGCAACCAGTGTGAAACCCGACACACGAGACGCGATAGCGACAGCAGCAGTTGCGAACACGCTCTCGGGTCGCTTGTCTTCACGAAATTTGATTGGTTCTTCTACTGTATCTTGTAAAGGGTATTGGTGGTTTTCAAAAAAATGCGGGGTTTGCATTACGGACGTGTAAACCAAACAAACCTTGCGATGCCAATGATATTGAAAAACAAACGCACACTAAGATACGATTTTATGAGGAAAAACTTACCGGATAACTTCGCCCTGGCATCAACAAATTCCCATAAAGGTGCCCTTTTTTCAGTAATCACTTGGTAAATGGACAAATTAAGAATTAGAAAGTTTGACAGAGCAAAATTAATGTTGAAAGTGTTAGCTAACTGCAGTGTGTAACATACTCTCCACTCATTGGTCAGTCAATGAAACCCTCACTGATTGGTTGTACGCTAAGCGACAGCGACAAAAGTTGAACATTTTTCAACTTTCATATGTTGCGTCGCAAGCTCGCGTGTGCAAGTCTATGTGTACAAGCGTGAAATTTCACATGCATGATTTTCACCGGACACTCGGCTGGAGGAGGGCGAGCGATTGTCGCCTCATTGCACAAGTTCCATAGGAAATGAATGGAGAGCGAGCGACATCACCTCCAGTGTGTCGAGCCCTTCAGACGTTGTGGAAAAAATGGTGAGGTCATCTATTGTAAAGAGGAGCATCTTGTAAACAGTGATTAATCATTAATCATCTATTCTTATGCAAATTAATAAAGAAAAGCAAACACGAAGTAGTTGTTGACAATTGTGTTTACCTTTGGTTATAGCGAGAATTTTGGCCACATAGGTCCCGTTGACTAAGAAGGGGGACTCTCTGTCTGGTACCTTGTTGAGTTTGATCTCAGCTGTGTTTTCATCAATAGTAAACCAGTTGTCTGGATCATAGGCTTTAGCATAGCTGAAACAAGCAAAATTAAGAAAAAGTATTAGAAAAACAAATAAATGATTAACTAAGACTTGATTTTTATTATCCCACTGTGGAAGCATAAAGTCAGATAAGCATTATTCATCATATTTAGCTCACAAAAATCCTAGTTAATTTTTTTCCTTTGACATTGTATTGTTGTTTGACTCACTGTAGTACTTTTTACTAATGTCCTGATGCATCTCAGTAATGTAAAAAGTCAAAAAGAAAAAAACTGTATAGGTCTTCTGGACGGGTTCTTCTCTAATGAAACATTTCGTCTCTCCTCCAAGAGACTTCTTAAGTCTGAGAGTTTCAGGGAAAATTCAGGCTTTTAAGCCCTGCCTCAATGTGACTGATACTCACATCACATGGCTATCATTGACACCTAATTTACACCTATTGTTAACAGGGGGTGGAGTGATACTGGCAATAGCAGCACTGTAGGAGGGGGACAACTGAAACGGAGGCCTCCACCTCTGTTTAATGATGGACRGTCTTTCTTCACAAAAATGGCTTCTTTTACTCCTCTCTCAAACCAATGTTCCTCTCTATCAAGAATGAGAACATCCTCATCTCTGAAAGAGTGACCGCTGGCCTGTAAATGAGTGAAAACTGCAGAGTTCTGGCCATTAGAATTAGCTCGCCTGTGTTGGGACATTCTTTTGAACAGTGGCTGCTTTGTTTCCCCAATGTATAACTGGTTGCAGTCCTTCTGGCACTTAACAGCATATACAACATTGCTCTGTTTGTGCCGGGGCACCGGATCTTGATTGAATGTTGATTACCGCTCGGGTTCAAGTCGGGTGGGGGGTTCCTCCCAACCACGCCTCTCCAGGTCTCACTGTCATTACCCACGTGAGCGTTGAAGTCCCTCAGTAGAACAAGGGAGTCTCCGTTAGGAGCGCTCTCCAGCACCCCCTCCAAGGACTCCAGAAAGGGTGGGTAATCTAAACCGCTGTTAGGTGCATAGGCACAAACATCAGTCAGGACCCGTCCCCCCACCCGTAGGCAGAGGGAGGCTACACTCTCGTTCACCGGAGTGAACCCCAATGTACAGACACCGATATGGGGGGCAATAAGTATGCCCACTCCTGATCGGCGCCTCTCAGCATGGGTAACTCCAGAGTGGAAGAGTGTCCAACCCCTCTGGAGGAGACTGGTTCCAGAGCCAGAGCGGTGCGTCGAGGTGAGTCCAAATATATCTAGTCGGAACCTCTCAACCTCACACACCAGCTCAGGCTTCTTCCCCACCAGAGAGGTGACTTTCCATGTCCTTAGAGCCAGCTTCTGTAGCCAAGGATCGGACTGCCAAGGTCCATGCCTTCAACCACTGCCCAACACATATTGCACCCGACCCCTGCGGCCCTTCCCACAGGTGGTGAGCCCATGAGAAGGGGGACCCATGTCTCCACTTCTGGCTGTGCCTGACCGGGCTCCATGGGCGAAAGCCCGGCCACCAGGCGCTCACCAACATGCCCCACCTCCAGGCATGGCTCCAGAGCAGGGTCCCGGTGACCCGTGTCGGGGCGAGGGAACACTGAATCCATTTATTGTGTTCATCATAGGGGTCTTTTGGCTGCACTTTGTCTGATCCCTCACCTAGGACCTGTTTGCCTTGGGTGACCCTATTGGGGGCATTAAGCCCCCAACAATATAGCTCCTAGGATCATTGGGACAATCAAACCTCTCCGCCACGATAAGGTGTTTTGTTATTGGACTTCTGTGCTCATCATGGATTGTCCATAACGAACACATTGTTCAAGCATAAGGGTATCTATAGTGCTCTTGGCACCAGGACACCCTAGGCCACAGTTTGATGATCGACTTTGTTGTCATTTCATCTGATCTGTGGCCGCATGTCTTGGACACTCGGGTGAAGAGAGGGGCGGAGCTGTCAACTGACCACTACCTGGTGGTGAGTTGGCTCTGTTGGTGGGGGAGAATGCCGGTCAGACCTGGCAGACCCAAACGTATAGTGAGGGTCTGCTGGAAATGTCTGTTAGCCTCCCGTCAGACGGAGCTTCATCTCATACCTCCGGGGGAACTTGGGAAAGCCTTGGGATTCCCCCGGATGAGCTGGCCCAAGTGGCTGGGGAGAGGGAAGTCTGGGCCTCTTTGCTTAGGCTGCTGCCCCCTCGACCCGACCCCGGATAAGCGGAAGAAAACGGATGGACAGACAGACGGACGGACGGAATGTTGATTAGCTGTGGTGGCCATCTTGGATTGTACTGACTCCAAAAGGTAATAAGTTTAGATCAATGCTAAATGGTCGTTTCCTAAAAGTTTCAATAAAATCTGCCCGTGGTTCATGAGATTTTTACTAACGGACAAAACATGACTGACTCTGAAAATTATTGCTAGAGATTTTAGTAAAGATCTCGCACAATGAGGAGCACTTGGAGTAGGGGTTAGGAATGATTATCAGCTACAAAAACACCAAATTTAACATATTTTGTATTTTCTAAGGTGATTTGACTGTGGCTGCTATCATGAATTGGGTTGGACCAAAAGTTAATCAGTTGTAGATTTACCTCCCATCATTACATTCTACAAATTTCAATAAAAAATTGTCAAGTGGTCCATTTAATACCTTAGTAACACATACACACGCGCACACAAAAGCAAAAACATATTTACCATATTTTGCCTTTTGGCAGCAGGAAATGATTAATAAATGTAAGCAACAGTTCCTAAAAAGAATCTAACAGACTTGACTCACTTGACATTTTCAGCTGGTTTTTTTGTATCTGGATCTGTAGCAGCGAATACAGTGAGCACTCCATCTTCTGGTGCATCCATGGGGTCCTCTGATACAGGAATTTTCTTGGTGTCAGGCATAAATTTTGGACCCTCTGGAACATTTTTCACTGCTATTTTAATCGGATAGCTTTTTGGACCTCCTGGTCCTGGTTTGAGGGCTGGCTTCAGTCCAACACCGACACCAGGCCCAACACCAGGCCCGACACCAGGCCCGACAGCAGGTTTAACCCCAATTCCAGGCCCAGGCCCAGGTTTAACCCCTGCGTCTACGCCAGCTTCCAAGTCAGCATCTAGTCCCAAGTCCACACCAAGGTCCACATCCAAACCCAGATCCACCCCCAGATCCACCCCCAGATCTACTCCTGCATCCACACCAACTCCAACACCGGCTCCAGCTCCGACTCCAACTCCAGCTCCGACTCCAGCACCGGCTCCAGCTCCGGCTCCAGCAGCCACAGGACCACCTTCTCCAACCTGGACGTCCACATCCATCAGTACTGCACTACCTTGTACAAAAGGGGCCACATTCTCGATGAGGATGCCAAGCTCAAGATTCTGTACTTCTTCAAAATCTACAGCCTAGAAGGTCCAGAAGACGAACAGGTGGAGTCCGGAGGAAAATACAAAAGAAGAGAGAGAAAAAAAAATTAATGAGAACTAAGTTATTTTGAACTATAGCAAAATTGCTTTTTCTGTGAAAATGCAGTGTGAAAATGCAATGCTGGGTGCTAAATAACTACTGAAACTTGCTGATGAAGCTAAAACTGAAGAAAGAGGGGGGAAAACAAAAAAAGGAGAAGTTGGCTACAAGCTAAAAGTAACAGAAGGCTAGCTAAGAGGTAAAGACCACACTAAATATGCAGAAACAGATTTCAAAGACAACAGAAGAAGTCTCAGTGTATTTCTGTGAGAAAATGTTTGACAATAAATATTTGGAAACATATAAAAGTTACAGTAAAAAGTTGTGATACTTATTTTTTTGAACGAGCTGAACATTTAATTAGGTGAATGGCCAAAATATCACAAATACGCAGAAGTAGCTAGATTACAAAAACTTAAGGAAAAAACTAAACATTTGAATAAAAAAAAAAACGCATTTTGAAACTGCACTCACACAAAAGAAGCAAAATTTTGAATATTTAAAATTCCTTTAGGAATACCTTGATCAGCTTCAGAATGCCCTCGTTGGTTTCTTTGTCTGTCTCAATAGAAAAGAGATTATCCTCGTTTCCTTTGGCGATGGTAAAGACAGCCAGCCAGTTGTCTGAGCCTTCAAGGTCTTTGTCCAACGCTTTGATTCTCATCACAACTACATCAGCAACATTTTCATCCACTGAGCCAGCATACTGACAACAACATTTTTAAGAAGAAAGCCATAAAACTGTGAAGTATCCTGTTAATAACAAGCTCAACAAAAGACAGCATTTTTTAAGAATTGCATATTGCCTGCCATATTACATGCCAAAGTTTTAAACTAAGATCAGTTAATGATAAAAAAAAATTAAAACGTGATGAAGACATTTTGGTCAAATGTTAAAAATATCTATAAAACTGACCAAAGTGTAGAGGTAATGTTTTTTTTTTTAATTCAGCAGGCACTTGTGCCAGCTGCTTGAGAGGGATTGTTCTGGTTCTGATTTAGTTATTTGGTGCCTAACTTGAACCGTATTGTTACCTCAGATTTTTCCAGAGTAGGGATGTTGTCATTGATGTCCAGGACTTTGATCTCCACGGTTCCTGTGCCCGATTTCCCCCCTGCTTTACCTTTCATATCCGTTCCTTTTATAACTAGTTTGTAGAAGTCATGTGTCTGCCAGAGAAAAGCACAAACAGCATGAACACAGAGCATACTGGTAGCTATTTCAATGTTAATACAGACACATTATGATATTTTTATTTATGTTTAATATTTTATCTTTGCAATTACATTTCAGAGCACAGTAAACTATTCAAAGTTTTTACATCACATCACATTTCAAACTGCACAAAAATAGTATGAATTTGTGCAATACTACAAGTGATGAAGTCATTTTAAGTGTGTTCAGGATGTGAAAGGTGAATATTGACTGTGATCCAAAAACACTGAAGGAAAACATAAACTTAATAGAAATTACATTTTACACAGCAATGGGAAAACAAAGGTCCAACCTCTTTTAATTCCAGGAATTTATATTCAGTACCTGGGCATCATAAAAACAAGATAAATGTGGTGCGAGTGCTGAATGCTAAATAAATGAAAAAGCCGATTATTATAGTAAAAGTGGCTAAAACAAAACCTAAAAAAAGACTAAACGATGCATGAAGCAAAACAGAAGCTAAAGGCTAAAAATAGGCAAACTAAATGAGAATGTTACTATGGGGCTCCAAGTGTAAAACAAAACGTTAAAAAATGTCCCTAACACATTTTCATTATTTAGCTCACTTTCTGAATGTAAAATCCTAGTTACAAAATTTTCACTATCATTTTATCTTTATTTAGCTCACTGTTCCTACATTTTATAAATTTTTACCAAATGTTAAATTTAAATGTTAAATAATAAATGTAAATCATATCCTAAATTTAAATGTGTAAATCTAAAAGTAAAAATTCAATTTTTTAATGTTGTGGCTAAATTTTGAAGTTTATATTTAAGTATTTCAGAATGGAATGCAGCCTTTTTTTGTTGGTGCTCTGCTTTTATTGTGACATCATCATCTCGAGACAAAAGCAACTGCGCACCATGAATTTTTTTTAACTTCAAATTTGCCAGCCAAATGTCACCTGCAAATTTTCAACTCAATTAGTTCGCCAGAAAAAAAATAACTACAGAAATTCACTAGTAAAAATTTACCTGAAAACACTCAAGTATTTCAGCTGCAGAAATCTGCCGTAAAAATGTGTTGACCTCCTGGTGACCCAAGCCAAAGCAATTAGCACAAGATCAAGTCGAGTGAATTTCAACCAATCAGCTTACGCTCATTTGATCTTGTGACACACCAGTGCACTGGGCAGTGGTCGTGAAGGGTCCATGCAGTTAGTTTACTTTTTCATTTAAAACAAAACAAAAAAAATTTTAAACTTGTCTTTTTCATTTTTCATTGTGCACTAAAGAAAAATGGATACCGATCGGTCTGGTGAACTGGTGAACTTCTGGATACATTTTAAATGTAGATTTTAAATACCATCTTCAGCAGTGTTTGCAACAGTTAGCATTAGCATTTGTCTCGTGATGATGACACCCTGTTGGTTAGCGAACGATAAACGCTGTTGATGCTGCTGAAGATTTTACACTCAGAAAGTGATCTAAATAATGTCTTTGTGACATTTTTGTAACATTGTAATGTCTGACAACAAATGAGAAAGCTTATTTAGAATGCTTGTTTGTGAAAAAAAATTCTTGGACTCCTCCACTTGAGGCAGAACTTCAATCTGGAGAGAGCAATCCACCATTTTCCAACTCAGCCGCTTCTCACTCAGCTGCAAACTGCTCCAGTTAGAGCTAAAGGACACAGCATGAGGACACCACATCATCCGCAACAATCAGAACTGTTTTTATTATGTTCTTATCCCAAGAATTACTAAAAGATAAACTTTTGTACTCCCATGACTATTATGTGTAAATGACTTAATAATATAATAACATAATTTGATGTGATGTAATTATATGTAGTGAAAACGTGAAGCGACACTGTGTGTTAGTGACTGTGCAGTGAGCAGTACCTCTCTGTCCAGTAAGTGTTTACCAACGAAAAGTTCCCCCGTGTCTTCATTTATATAGAACATGTCTTTGCCTTTTGGCTCCTGACTGATGATTCTGTATGCAATCTGTGCATTAGGAGTTTTAGGATCATCATCATCTTTACCCTCAACCTTCATAACCAGGGTTCCTGAAATGAATCACAAAAAGACAAAACCATATTATGAACACTGAATGTGAAGTGAAACAAAAGCCAAATACATGGGAGAGAGCAGGTTGCTATCCATCAATGAGTTAGGAAAACCTGCGTCAGCAGACAGAAAAAGAAAACTGGACAGGAAGTGAAAGTAATGTAGATCACCTGACAGACCGTGACAGAGTTAGAGGCTAAGGAGCTGATTTATCAAACGTTTGCACCTGTATCCTTCTGAGCTTACGCTTACCTTCTTTGCTAGCCTCGGTAATATTCCCATAGTGCGTCTCAAAATAAGGAGCATTATCATTTTGGTCCACGACAGTGACGACCAGTGGGATGTTTTCCTCTGCTTCGCTCCCGTCTTTGAATCTGGCTATACCTGTTAGCTGCAGGAATGAGGAGACAGGACAGGGTTAAACTGTACGCAGTGCCTGTCTGGTGTTTCAGAGCTTTCCACTTACTCAGTTGCTCTGATCTCTACCTTTAGCTTTGCTGCAAAAGTCTTTCATTAAAAAAAAAGAAATTACGACAAAAGACATGTTTTCATCTTTAAATGACTCACATTGTAGCAAGGGTACTTTTCCCGGTCCAGAATGTCATGAATCCTTATAAAGCCGGTGTTGTGGTCGACTGTAAAAAGGTTGTAGGGTGGTTTGTCAGCTCCTTCTCCTGTAAGGAAATACTCAACCGTCGTTTGTCTATCTCTATCAGAGCGAATCTAAAAAAAAAGAAAAGAAAAGAAAAGAAAAGAAAAAAAATAAAAAGATTGAGATATTTTTTGAGTTATTGTTCTTTTGTTTTCACTGAGATTTAAAACATGGCTTTCCTGTTTATAATTTATGTCATACAATTTTTATTATCAAACTACCACGGCCCTTTCTGAAAAATAGTTGCCTGCTTATTTTGTTTTTATTTTACTGTTATTTAACCACTCTCCTTGGGCTGCCACCTTATCGTGGTGGAGAGGTTTGAGTGTCCCAATGATCCTAGGAGCTATGTTGTTGGGGGCTTCATGCCCCAAGTAGGGTCATCCAAGGCAAACAGGTCCTAGGTGAGGGATCAGACAAAGTGCAGCCCAAAGACCCCTTATGATGAACAAAATAAATGGATTCAGTGTTCCCTCGCCCGGACCCGGGTCACTGGGGCCCCACTCTGGAGCCATGCCTCTTGGAGGTGGGGCACGTTGGCGAGCGCCTGGTGGCCGGGCTTTCACCCATGGAGCCCAGTAGAGAAGATGTGGGTCCCCCTTCCCATGGGCTCACCACCTGTGGGAGGGGACATAGGGGTGGGGTGCAATGTGTGATGGGCAGTGGTCGAGGCCGAGGACCTTGGCGGTCCAATCCTTAGCTACAGAAGCTGGCTCCCGGGACATGGAATGTCACCTCTCTGGTGGGGAAGAAGCCTGAGCTGGTGTGTGAGTTTGAGAGGTTCTGACTAGATATATTTGGACTCACCTCAACGCACCGCTCTGGCTCTGGAATCAGTCTCCTCCAGAGGGGTTGGACACTCTTCCACTCTGGAGTTACCCATGCTGAGAGGCGCAGAGCAGGAGTGGGCATACTTATTGCCCCCCATATCGGTGTCTGTACGTTGGGGTTCACTCCGGTGAACGAGAGTGTAGCCTCCCTCCACCTACGAGTGGGGGGACGGGTCCTGACTGTTGTTTGTGCCTATGCACCTAACAGCGGATCAGATTACCCACCCTTTCTGGAATCCTTGGAGGGGGTGCTGGAGAGCGCTCCTAACGGGGACTCCCTCATTCTGCTGGGGGACTTCAACGCTCACGTGGGTAATGACAGTGAGACCTGGAGAGGCGTGGTAGGGAGGAAAGGCCTCCCCGACTTGAACCCGAGTGGTGTTTTGCTATTGGACTTCTTTGCTCATCATGGATTGTCCATAACGAACACCATATTCAAGCATAAGGGTGTCCATATGTGTTCTTGGCACCAGGACACTCTAGGCCACAGTTCAATGATCGATTTTGTTGTTTTGTTCATCTGATCTGCGGTCGCATGTTTTGGAAACTCGGGTGAAGAGAGGGGCGGAGGTGTCAACTGACCACTACCTGGTGGTGAGTTGGCTCCATTGGTGGGGAAGGATGCTGGTCAGACCTGGCAGACCCAAACATATAGTGAGGGTCTGCTGGGAACATCTGTCAGAGTCTCCCGTCAGGCGGAGCTTCAACTCACACCTCCGGGGGAACTTCGAACACGTTCCGGGGGAGGTGGGGGACATTGAATCAGAGTGGGCCATGTTCCGTGCCTCCATTGTTGAGGCGGCTTACCTGAACTATGGCCGTAAGGTTGTCGGTGCCTGTCGTGACGGCAACCCTCGAACCCGCTGGTGGACACCGGCGGTGAGGGATGCTGTCAGGCTGAAGAAGGAGTCCTATCAGGTCTTTTTGACCTGTGGGACTCCAGAAGCAGCTGATAGGTATCGGCAGTCCAACCGGATTGCGGCTGAGGTGGTCCCTGAGGCAAAACTCGGGCATGGGAGGTGTTCGGAGAGGCCATGGAAAACGACTTCCATATGGCTTCGAGGTTGATTCTGGTCCACCACCCGGCGTCTCGAGAGGGGGGCGGGGCAGTTTGCCACCAACACTATTTATGGTGGGGATGGTGCGCTGCTGACCTCAACTCGGGACATTGTGGGTCGGTGGGCAGAATACTTTGAAGACCTCCTCAATCCTACCGACATGTCTTCCCATGAGGAAGCAGAGCCTTAGGACCCTGGGTCGGACTCTCCAATCTCTTTTTCAAGGGAGGCCTGGGCCTGAAGGCAACTTATTATACATGTTTTTGAATGTTGGGGAAACTGGAATACCCAGAGAAATCCCACGTAAGCACAAGGAGAACATGCAAACTCTGCACAGAAAGATCCCAGGTCCGAACCGGGGATCGAACCCAGGACCTTCTTGCTGTGAGGCGTCGGTGCTAACCACTGAGCCGTCCTGCTGCCTTATAAACCGAAGCGTGAGCCAGCAGATATAGTTTGGGTACCACTGCATTAGGTTTAGGTGGGAACATCCAATTAAGTGACAAAAAGTAATACTTTGACTTTTGAACATGGCCATTTTTTTTCTCCATCATGACAGAATACTTGTTATTTCTTATTTTGAGTTTATGTAAATTACCTTAGCAATGAATTCCAAATGGGTGTAATTGGTATTCTCCTCCAACTTGGAAGGAGGAAGGATCCACTCTCTTTTTGTCCTCTTCAAACTCATTTCTTTACTCTCTTGTGCTTCAGCACTGGCCATCTGAAACCACAAAGAAGGCCATAATGAGCAATACAAGAATCTAAAGAAATATAAAATAAAACACAAAGGCAGACAAGGCTGTGGCTCAGGCCAGTTCTGGGACCAATCCTATCATCATTATTCATTTTATGTTTCCCAAAATGTTTCAACAAAAAAAGGCAAAAATGAAGGCAAAGCTAACTCAGAGGTACAAACACAAAGCACGTTACAAAATGGAAACCACATGTCACCAGCAGGAATGCTATGGTTCCATTTGTCAATCTGAGGAAAGGTGGCAGAAACCAGATCGTTGTGGAATGTCTTAGACATTCTGCGACTGAACTCTTAACAAAGCAGAGCTTCAGCTGGGCTTCAAAGTTCTACATGAACATTTCTAATTAACAATTTTGGCAGAACCAAACATGCAGAAGCTGTATTCGGCTTTTATGCACCAAATATTTGGAAATCATGGAGAACTGCAGAACAGCTCCAACTGTGGGTTGAAGACCGTCTAATTTGCTGCTGCCTTTGATTAAGGGAGACATGATGCTTAATCAAAGGCAGCAGCGAATTTAATTGTTAAAAGGAAAGATTTAAAAGGGAGACATGATGCTTTTAAATCTTCCCTTTTCACATTTAAATAATTCATTTGGGGTCTATATAAAGTGGAACTGCAGTACTTTGGTCTTATTGTAACTCCACAAGCCCCTCTTTCACCCCTTTTCTGAGGTGTGTCTCAGATGAATTCATTTTGATGCTGTCTTATTAAACAAAATGAGTCACTTCATGTCCTGCCCCCTCCAGCTTCCAGACCAGTTCAGTCTAGTTTGATAGAGGATTATAATTTTATAGCAGTGCAGAAATGTCTAATTTACACTTTTATTAAAAGCTGTCAACAGAAGACTTGTCCATCCAGCTTTGCATGTTGGAGTCTGATCCAGAGTCAAATTTGAATTGGTAAGTCCAGATCTTATTTAGAAGTTCTGTCACAAATAATCTGACAGAATAGTTTAGAAAACTTCATAGAAAATAGAAAAAACTGAACAAATTGAAAAATAGGATCCAAACAGCATATAAAACTATCTTTGCAGCACCTGGAGAGACCTAAATTCAACTTTCCTGCACTCCTAGAGACTCCAAGTACAAAAAAAAATGCATTTAATAACTTAAAAAAGTGGATTTTATCTGGAATATCCCCTTTAATGCAAGAATTATTTATGCTTTTATATTTTATTTCAGTTCTTAATCCTAGCTTGCTACATTTTATTTCTGACAGGTTTATTTTTTTCAGTGCTTAAAATTGTACACTTTTCGATGGGCTTTTACTGTTTGTCTCTTTTCCAGATGAAGGTGCACCTGGACCAGTCCTGGACGAGTTCTTCTGTGTTTACCTGTGTCTCTTTCCTGTCCCTCAACCAGCCGGTTGAGGCAGATGGCCGCCTGTCCTGAGCCTGGTTCTGCTGGAGGTTTCTTCCTGATTAGCAGGGAGTTTTTCCTCTCCACCGTTTCCTCAGGATGGGAGACTGTGATGAAGTGATTCAACACAATATGCTGGTTTCTTCTTTAGATTGTTCTTTTTTTCATGTACAGTGCCCTAAGACAACGTTTGTTGTGACTTGGCGCTATATAAATAAACTGAATTGAATTGAATTGTTCTTTCACACACAAAAAATATTTTAATTGTCTGCATCAAAGGACTTTGAGTTGCCTTGTAGCAGAAATGTACTATTTAAATAAAGCTGCCCTGCCTGGCCCTGACGTGTCTATTTTAATCCTTAGACTATGTGTTTAATCCCAACACTAAGCCTGTCCTCTTGTTTTTCTTCTTGCAAATTTCCTGAGAACAAGGTTGTGACTTTCCCTCAGGTTAGCAAACAGGACAACCTGTGAGTGTTTTTTTCTTTCTTTCTTTTTTTTTGGCAAATTGAGGAGTGACAAAGAATGATGATGTCTTCTTGCAGTGTGAGTATAATCACCAACAACTCACATAAATGTGTCAAGATTCAGGTTAAACTCTGTGTATTACGTTATCAAAACAATTAAAACTCATCACATTTTATGTTTTTCTTTAGGTTGCTCCATTTAGGGGTCATCACAGTGGATCCTCTGCCTCCAAAACTCTTCATCCTCCTGTCACGTTATGCATCAGTGACAAGATTTAAAATGCACCTGGCAGTCTTGTTTCAAGAAAATACTCTTGAATGACAAACACTGAATCACCCAAAGAAGAAGACACAAACACAAACCCTGCAGTGTTCAGACCCCTATATGTGAGACTGAACAACCAGTCTGCAGATTATGGCACAACACAGGAGAGACAACTCCTCAGGCTGACTCAGCTGGTCGCCTACAGCTCAAAGATAAGGGGTGTTATGTTGAGGACTGCTATGTTAATGTTTCAGACAAACAAGACCAAATTTGAACAGAAGAAGTGTTCACGTATTTATGCTTTCGTTGTACTACAAGGCCATTTATTCGGAAGCTAGAATTTCTCAATTCCAAGTTTAAAAGAAAATCTACTGGAATGTTAAAGTCTGACTCGGTCAGAAATTCCTGACTTCAAATCTGAACGTGGCTGATTCTTGCATGAAAAGCTGATGGCTGCAGGAATTAACTTTTTATTTTTCCTTCTGTTGGTTTGTATCTCAGTAATTCAGTCACACATATACAGCTCTGGAAAAAAATTAAGAGACCACTTGAAAATGATCAGTTTCTATGTTATTACTCTTTTGTAGGTATATGTTTGAGGAAAAAGGAAAAAATGTAATTTTATTCTATGAACTACTGACATGTCTTCAAAAATTCAAAGCAAAAATTTGGTATTTATTTGCACAAAATGAGAAATGGTCAAAACGACTACAAAAGACGCAGTGCTTTCAGACCTCAAATAATGCACAGAAAACAAATTCATATTCATTTAGAAACAACATTACTAATGTTTTAACTCAGGAATAGTTCAGAAATCAGTATTTGGTGGAATGTTTTACAGGGAAACTATGCAGTGTTCTCTTAAATTTTTCCAGAGCTGTAGTTCTTTCCAGTCACTGTATGTGAACATGATGGTACAGTGCTCAAATGCACAGAATTCAAAGAAATGCATTGTTATTGATGAATGATAATTAGCCCAGCTACTGTATAGAATAAACACCAAATTCATCCTTTCTGTCATAAACACTCTGACCCTTGTCTGTATCCACTCCACCCTACATGCTCCCTCTTCACCTCTCTTGTTCTTGGTGCTTTGGATGGTTACCCAAACTCACTGACAATACTTCTTCTTGGGTTTGCAAAAGGTTTAGGGAAGTTGTCCTATAACTGGTGGGTTGCCAGTTCAACCCCACTTTCCATTTGTCTCTGTCGTTGTGTCCTTGGTAAGACACCTTACTCACCTTACCTGCTGGTCAGAGGGTCTGGTGGTGCATGGCAGCCCTGCCTCTGTCGGCGTGGCCCAGGGCAGCTTGTGGCTATAATGTAGCTTATGACCATCAAATGTCTTTGAGTGTCCTAAAATGCATTAGGTAAGTATAATAACTGTAATAATAATAATAATAATAATAATAATAATAATAATAATAATAATAATAATAATAATAATGGATAATGGCACCGGCTCCGCTGAACCCTTCCCTATACCATGTGTTTTGACCCCCCACCCCCTCCTCTCCTTAGCTAACTGCACTGTCGCAGAGTAGTTTTGTTGAGCGTATGTTTGTGTGTTTTTCTGTATAAAACACAGGATCAAAGCTCTTTTTTAACCACCATTCCTATTTTGTGTGTGTATTCTAAACTGCAAAGAAAGCGCACTAAGTTGTGAAAGACCCTGGACATTCATTCGCCCATGTTTGTCATGTGTGTGTGTGTTTCTCCGGACGTATGTTCTAAACTGCAAATTTCGTTCTGCACTGCATCTTGATGTTGTGTGTGAATGACAATAAAGATTTTGATTCTGATTCTAATAATAATAATATTACTTACAGCTTCACTATCCCACCTCATTTTCATTCACTTACACACCTCCTTCATTTGCTCAAAAGGTTGCCAACAAACATCATAATCCATGTGGACTCTTGTCTGACCTCATCTATCAACCTGCCCCTCTGTTGGAAATAAGTCAGGGCTCAGAGCTGATCCTTGTTGTACTCCCACCCTAACTTTTAAACCACCGGTCACTTCTATTCCACATCTCACCACTGTCTCGCTATCCTTGTACATGATGTCTTGCACCATACCCTCACATACTTATCCACTACACCTGACTTCCTCATCCAGTACCAAAGACACAGAGCAGCTCTTTCTGAGCTTCTACTTCTCCATCAACCCTCTCAAAACAAACGTTTGGTTCATCGTGTCCTTCCTCATCAGAGAAAGTACTCTTGAGGCATGAGGGAATTAAAGGCTTTCGTTATCACAGCAGGGCATTGGCTTACACTCATGAAACACAAATTGTTATAACTCAGAAACAAAATAATCAATCAGCACCGAACTTTCATTACTGGTCCAAAAAATAACTCCATGACTACACATCGCAATTACTTTAGCCAGAATCAGGTTTAAAATGTGTCATTAGTGGATGTGTTAGATTACTGTGTTAGATAACAGATTAGATCACGTTTGGTGTTAAAACGAAAAGGCTTTTCTGTGACAGGATAGCAAAATGTGATATCACTAAAATAATCTAACTGGCTCCACATTTCTCATGTTTGATCACAGTTCAGTCTTTAAACTACTTTAGATCACCACTGTACATCAGTATTATGCCTTTACCTCTGTCTCACACACTGGAAACTGGAACTTACAGTTCACCACCTAACACAAGTATTTATTTAT